CCCCCCCCCCCCCGGCTATTCGTTCTCCCTTTCTCAACAGGGTTTCTAGACCCATCTAGCCTGGGTTTAAGCAGTACTGGTCAGTACTCTCTCCATGATGCTGCATTTAACTTCTCATCCTCTGGCCTTCACCTCCCAAATCCCAGTATTTCGATTACAGATCTGTGCAATCTCATCTGGCGACCTTTCTACATCCTAAACACACACGTTATTCTAATTACAACTTTTCTTTAGGGCAAGGTTGGTTTGGTTGGTTGACTGATCTTTGCAGTGTAGAGGATAGGACCCAGGGCTTTGTGCTGTATCATTGAACTGCATCTCCAGTGTGTGTGTGTGTTTGTTTGTTCTTAGCATGTATGTGTTGTACAAGTTTCACTTTGCAATGCAAGATGGTCTCAAACTGATAATCCTGTCTCAGCTTCCCTATTGGTGGGATTACAGGTATAGGATACCAGGTTTGGCTGAGTGGCTGTTACGGGGCTAAAGTTCTGCCTTGTTGGCTGTCTGCATGAAGCTTTTTGGAACTGTGTTCTCTAAGATGCATAGACCTCTCAGTGTCTTCCTTGGCCACAGACAGATATTGAGATTAAGGGTCTTTTTTTTTTTTTTCAGACTTTTTCTGGGCTGGGTCAGTGGCCCTTGAGGTACAACTCCTAAGTACTCCCTTTCCCTGTGGGGTGTCACCTTTAAGGGCTTTATTTATTTATTTATTTCACAGTTTTTCAAGAAAGGCAAGTATTTAATCAATAGTGATTGAAAGATGACACAGCTTTTACTCCTTTACTCTCTTGCCTCTAGCTTCTCCTCGTCCTTCCTCCCTTCCCTTCCCCCTCTCTCCACATGGTCATGGCCGGCCTCCACTTCTCTCCTCTCTCTTCTTTCTCTACCATCTTCTCCCGTTTCTCTCCCTACCTTTGCCCTCTGCCCTGAATAAACCCCCTCCCCTTTAAAAAAAAAAAGAAAGATGACACAACCTTTTTCTAAAATCAAGAAAGGTGGTCTGCATTTCATTAAAAAGGGAGACAAAGAGCTGGAGAGATGGCTCAGCGATTAAGAGGACCCGGGTTTGATTTCCAGTATTCACATGGTTGTTCTCAACCGTCTGCAGATCCACAGCCCGGGATCCATCTCCTTCAGACACGCATGCAGACAAGACACCTATGCACGTAAAAATGAATGAATACATAACAAGTGAGACTCGGTGGTCCTGTCCGGCATTCCTCCAGCCGCCTGGCATGCCGCCTGCTGCAAACTGGAATGAGGGTCCATTCCTTATGTTACGATCTCCACACCTCTGTGGCATGTGTACGCCAATAAATAAATAAATACATAAATAAATAAATAAATGTAGTTTTTAAAATGGGCTGAAGCCGGGCAGTGGTGGCACACACCTTTAATCCCAGCAATTAGGAGGCAGAGGCAGGTGGATTTCTGAGTTCGAGGCCAGCCTGGTCTACAGAGTGAGTTCCAGGACAGCCAGGACTACACAGAGAAACCCTGTCCCGAAAACAAACAAACAAACAAACAAACAAAAAAAAAAACAAAAAAAATGGGCCAAAACATAGCTTCTAATCTGTTTCCGTGTGAGCCAATCCCCTCTAGGAGAAACTTTTGTAGTGCCTTGTTTCAGCGCGTGTCTCAGTGCTGAAGAGGGAGTAGGCAGGGCGGAGACTGCTCTAAGGCTCAGGACTGCTGTGAGATCCTATGGGCTCTGGGTGCTCATGCTTCTCCCTTCTGTCTGCTCTCTGCCTGTCTTTCTGCTGATTTCCTTGTACAATTTTAAGTTTAAAAGCTGACTTTTATTTTGCATGTGTAAATATCATGTTTTGCCCTCAGAGGCCGGAAGAGGGCACTGGTACTCTTGGAACTGGAGTTCTGGATGGCTGTGTACAGCCAGGAGAGTGCTGGGAACTGACACTGGGTCTCCAGCAGTGCAGCAGGTGCTCTTAAGGTCATCTCGCCAGCCCATCCTGCACAATTTTAAAGGGAAGCAGAGAGAGAAAACAATGGGCCTGTGATAAATCTGCCAACAGGTTCGACTTGGTGACACCAGCTGTCATCCCAGCCTTGAAAAGGATTGGAAGGAAGATCTTGAGTTGGAGGTTGGCCTGGGCAACAGCCAGACACTGTCTAAAGCCAACCCAGCATCTAGGGAGATGGTTAGTGGGCGAGCATCTACTGTGGAAGCATGGAGACCTGAGTTTGGATCGCTAGTGTCTATGAAAGCCTGTACCACCCCTCTGCTGGGGTGAAACCTGTTGAGCTTCTGGCTCAGGGAGAGGCCCTGTCTTAGTAGCAGTTCAGAAGTGGTAGTGTGCATGTGCATGGGTCCTCCACACTTGCATAGATGCGGGTAGAGCAAACAAGTGAATGTGAATACAATAAGCCAGCAGTTAGAGTGAACAGGTCAGCTCCCAGTGCTTTATGAGAAAGGGAATGCAGTCTAAAACCTGCTAACAAAAGGGCTGGAGACCACAGACATGTATGTGAACCTCTTCTTAAAGGGAGATTTATTTTTATTTATGTGTACGTGTCTGTGTTAGAATATGCTGTGTGCTGCCCTGCCCCGCTGCAAGGAGACCAGAAGAGGGTGTTAAATCTGGAGCTGCTTGTTGTAGGCACCCAGTGCAGATGCTAGGAACTGAACTCAGATACCCTGAAGATCCTCAGAAATGTTTCTAACCATTGAGCCATTGCTGCAACCCCTCATGGGAACGCTTTGTGGACTGAAGGCAGATCTCTGTGCTACATATGTATCTCTCTTCCTCTTGTAAACACATGTGGGATGTTTCAGGACTTAGTGACCTTCGAGGATGTGACTGTGAACTTTACCCAGGAGGAGTGGGCTCTGCTGGACGCGTCCCAGAGGAACCTTTACAGAAAAGTTGTCGGGGAAATCTTTATGAACTTGGCCTCTATAGGTAAGGATGATATCTTCCCCGACTTTCCCAGTTAGGCCAACATGCTCTACCCTTCATTGCTGGTCCATGATTGGAAATGTGAAAAAGTCACACTCTGATAATAACCATAGCATCATTGCAGTGGATCGTGAACCTGGAGTCTGATGCATTCTCTCTAATAACTCAGTTTTCTCCCCTATGTGTTCCAGGGGAAGGATGGGACCAGAATATTGAAGACTGGTACAGAAATCAGGGCAGAATCCTAAGGTAACTCACTTGAGAACAGAAAGGATTGTTCCACGACACAAGGGTAGGAGCTGGGTCAGTAGGTGGTGAAATGCCTTCTGTGCAGGAACGAGGACCTGTATTTGCTCCCTAGAATCTATGTAAAGAACCAGGTGGGTGTGGGGACATGTGCTTGTCATCCCAGCTTTGGGAAGGTAGAGTGAGGTAGATCTCTGGGGCTCACTGGCCAGCCAATCCAGTCACATTGGCTAGTTCTTTGTGAAAACAGAAGACCCTGTCTCGGAAAATAAGGTTAGCCAAGTAACTGAGGAAGACACATGAGATTGACTTCTGACCTACACACGTACACACATGTACACATATGTACACACATGTACACATATACACACACATTTACACATACACAGACACAGAATTTTAGTTCATCATGAAGTTTTCAAAAATAAGCCCACCTAACAGTAAGCTTACTTATTTTCACATTTTATTTATTTACTTACGTGTATGTGTATGCACACGCGCATATGCAACTATGATGGCCAGAGGCATCAGATTCCTCTGGAGCTGGAGTTAATTTAAGGGTAGTTGTGAACCTTCTGACATGGATGCTGAGAACTGAACTTGGGTCCTTTGTAAGAACAGTACACACATTCTTTGGGCTGGAGAGATGCCTCAGAAGTTAAGAGCATTTGTTATTCTTGCAGAGAACCTAGGTTCAATTCCCAACACCCACACGGCAGCTCATAGCCATCTGTAACTCCAGTTCCAGGAATCCGTTGTCTTCTGGCACACAAGAGGTATGCAGACATACATGTAGGGAAAACACCTATACACATAAAATTAAAAAAAATAAAAGCATTAAAAAAGCAAACAGTACACACTCTTACCTGCAGAGATCTCTCTCCAGCCCCCAAATAGAAATATAAATTTACCTATAAACATATAGGTAAATATGAAATTGTGAGCAAGGCACTTATAATGTGTTCTAATTATTATTTTTTAAACAGCAGCCATATTGTGGAGAGACTTAGTGACAGCAAAGAAAGTAGCCTTTGTGGAGAAACCATCAGCCAAATTCTTGACCAAGATCTGAAAAAGAAAAGCTCTCCTGGAGTAAATCTCTGTGAATGTAGTGTGTGTGGATTAGCCTTCACGCCTTGTTCGTCTGGGAAGCCCAGCAGAGCACACGCTGGACCGGAAGTATGTGATTCCAGATGCAAACCGTGTGAGACAGCCTTCCACGATTACTCTTTCCAAGTCAATGGCAAGTCTCACCATGAAGACAAACCCGACGGGTGTCGGGAACACGAGGACGACTTTCTTTCTTTTACCAGCCTTGGTGACTTCATTATAACTCGTACTGAAGGTGGACCCCATAAATGTAACGTGTGTGGCAAAGGTTTGCACTACCCCAGCTCACTTAGAATCCACGAGAGAATCCACACAGGAGAGAAGCCCTATCAGTGTGAACAGTGTGGGAAAGCCTTCAGCTGTTGGGGCTCAGTTCGAAGACATCAAAGGACCCACACTGGCGAGAAGCCCTACAACTGTAAGGAGTGTGGGAAAACCTTCAGTTCTCTCTCAGGCCTTAAAGGACACATGATAAGACACACTGGGGGTGGACCTTATAAGTGTAAGGCTTGTGGAAAAGTCTTTAACTTGCCCAGTGCGCTTAGTAAACACGAGAGAACTCACACGGGGGAGAGGCCTTTTCTGTGTAAGTACTGTGGGAAAGCATTCATTTGCTCCACCTCAGTCCGAAAACACGAGAGGACTCACACTGGAGAAAAACCCTATGAGTGTCAGCGGTGTGGGAAGGCCTTCATTTCTAATTCAGGCCTCCAAGGACACATGATCAGACACACCGGGGTTGGGCCTTACAGATGTAAATTCTGTGGGAAAGCCTTTGGCTCTCCCAGTGCGGTTCTGAGGCATGAAAGTGCTCATGTTGTGTAGGGAGAGCCTTCACTTTGAGGACACTGAAGGTCCTGAGAAAATCTTTTACTATCCTAGTTCGGGTACAGAAAATGATTGCGGGGGGACTTTTGTTTAGAGAACATGGGGAAGTCATAGTCTGTCAGATTTTATGTGGAAACATGAAGAACATGGGGAAGTCATAGACTGTCAGATTTTATGTGGAAACGTGAAGAGGCTGCAGAAAACCTTATAAATAAAAGAATAAAACCTGCTTGTCTTTGTGCGTGTGTGTGTGTGCACACGCATGCGCGTGTGCGTGCTCTGTCACATGTGCCTGTGTGCATGTGTAACAGTACATTTTGTTGAGATGAGCTGGAAGATACATAGGTGGATTCTTTGGTTAGGTGTGGTAGCATAGGCCTTTGATCCCTGTACTTAGGAAGTGGAAGCAAGAGAATCTCTGTGTGTTCAAGGCCAGCCTGGTCTACATAGAGATTTCCAGGACAGCCAGAGCTACACGGAGAAACCCTGTCTAAAGAAAGGGGCCAGGGGACCCTCAGTGGTTAAGAGTGCTTCCTGTCCTTCCAGAGAATCAAGTTACTGTTGTCAGCACCCATGCTTGGGATCTTACAACTGTGGGTTCAGCTTCAGAGAATTTGAAGGTTTCTTCTGGCCTCTGTGGGCTTTGCACTTAATATATCAATACATGTAATTTTAAAAAGATGGGATGATTTCTCAAGTTAGTACCCAGGGGACATGAATTACAGTGGTTGCTATGGAGAAGGCTTTGGGATGGAATGTAAAACGGCGAAAAACACTATTCTAATACGTACAAAGCCTGTGGGAACGAACCCTATCTATCTATCCATCCATCCATCTATCTATCTATCTATCTATCTATCTATCTATCTATCTATCTATCTATCTATAGGTCAGAGGACAACTCTGTGGCATTAATTCTCTCCTTCCGCTTTACATGGAGTTCAGGGGTGGAACTCGTGTCATCAAGGTTGGCAGCAAAAGTCTTCTCCACCTGCTGAGCCATTTTGTCAGCCTGCCCACTTCTTTTTTGTGATTAGCTCTTGCTGTCAGGATGGCCTGGAACTCAATAGTCCTCCTGCCTCAGCCTCTGCAGTGTTTCCAGTAAAACATTTGAAAAAAAATTTTCATTTATTAATGTGTGGGTGGGGGATCATGTGCTTCTGTAGTGCAGAGGACAACTGTCTGCAGTGCACTCTGTCCTTCCTTTACATGGGTTTTAGGGATCACACTCAGGCTGCCACACATGCCCAGCAAGTGCCTTTACCTGGTGACCCATCTGGTCAGCTCTAATTAGTTGTTTTTTAATATTTGTGTGTGAGTTTGTCCCAGTGCAGGTGTGGAGAGCAATCCAGGTGCTGGCCTGTGGCAAACCGTTTGAGTCAGGACCCGGCCCAGGAGCTTCTGGGGATTCTGGTCTATGCCTTCCGTCTTGCTGTAGGAACGTGGCAGTTAAGTTGCTACTGTGCTGGTTGAAATAGAATGGCCTCATCGACTCATACATTTGAATACTTGTAAAAAGGTTTTGTTTTTTTTGTTTTTTTTTTTTTTGTTTTTTTTTTGTTTTTTTTTGTTTTTTTTGTGGTTTTTTGTGCCGGGGTCTCTCTGTGTAGCCCTGGCTGTCCTGGAACTCACTCTGTAGACCAGGCTGGCCTCGAACTCAGAACTCCGCCTGCCTCTGCCTCCCAAGTGCTGGGCGTGCGCCACCACCGCCCGGCTGAAAAGGTATTTTTTAAGTTAGTTAAATACTATAACAGTAATACAAATAGTTAAAATTTGCTAACTTGCTAACCCAAGGCCGTTACAGGAGATGCAGAACAGGGAAACAAAGGTCAACTGAGTGTTCCGGGAATCTGTTCCCGTGGTGTCTGATTTAGCCTCCTCTAGAAAAACTCCCACCAGAGGTCCCAAGGACTTATAAGTTAGATTCAGCCAGATGGTCTGTTGGCTCAGAAAAACATTCACACTGGGTCGGTCCCAAGGCCACAGGGACCAGAGACTATTCTCGTGGGATTTGTCAAACCTCTGCCTGAGATCTGCTTACACATATTACAGACATTTATAACAACCAATTGTGTGTGAGTACCCACAACCCTCTCCCCCCCCCAGCCTTTATCTATAAAATCCCTGAGCTGTTAAATCTCAGGGTCGATGGCCCCTGCCTCCTGCATGGGGCACATTGATCCGAAGCTTCGTATATTAAACCTGACTTATGTTATTACAGCAAGAGGTCTCTGGAGTGTCTTTGGGGGGGTCACCCTGGGTCACCCCCTAGAGGGGTCTTTCACTTGGTCTCCAATGGGTAAAACAGGGAAGGATTAGGAGGTATGATTTTCTTAGGGGAGGTGTTGCTGGGGGTGGCTATTCTGAGCCTCTCTGCTTCCAACTTTCAAATCAAGACATGAGTTCTGGGATGGGCCTGCCACCATGCCTCTGCTCCACTGACTCACCTTCTGAAACTGTGAGCCCCAAATTAACGGTTTCTCTTTTATAAGTTGCCTTGGTCAAGGTGCTTTATCACTGCAAATGGAAAGTCACTAAGAAAACTGCCCGCTCCAGGCTTTTATGTGGGCTCTGAGGATCAAGCTTGCATTTTCATACTTCGATGGCAAGTATTTTAGCGACTAAGCCATTTCTCCAGATTGTGGAGTGACCCTTCCAATAGAAACTTGTGGTGCAGGGAGGCTGCTCTAAGGTGTCAGCCTGGAGTTTAGAATCCCCCTCCCCGCATCAGTAGGGATGGAGCCTAGGATCATGCATGTCCCAGGCAAGCCTTCTAACCTCCGAGTAGACCCAGCTGTAGATTGGATTTTAAGGGCCTACAAGCCTGTTTAAAGGTTTGGTTTCCAATGTGACAGTATTGGGATGTGGTGGAACCTTTTTTGTTGTTGTTGTTTTTTGTTTTTGTTTTCGAGACAGGGTTTCTCTGTATAGCCTGGGCTGTCCTGGGACTCACTCTGTAGACCAGGCTGGCCTCAAACTCAGAAACCGCCTGCCTCTTCCTCCCAAGTGCTGTGATTAAAGGCATGCGCCACCACTGCCCGTCGTGGTGGAACCTTTAATAGGTCAGCCTAGTGAGGTTGTTTTTTTTTTTTTTTTTTTTTTTTTAGGGGTGGAGGTGTTAAGACAGGATCTCCGTGTAGCCCTGGCTCTCCTGAACTCACTCTGTAGACCAGGATGGCATCAAACTCGAAATCTGCCTGCCTCAGCCTCCCAAGTGCTAGGACTAAATGTGTGTACCACCATGCCTGAGTTTTTCTTAATTAATGTGTGTATGTATGTGACTCTGTGTGTGAAGGCTTGTGCAAGTGGTCACAGAAGCCAGAGAAGTTAGAAATTAGAGTTACAGGCAGTTGTGAACAGCCTGGGGTGGGTGCTGGGAATCCAGTGAGGGCCCTCAGGAGAACAGTATGTGCTCTTAACTTCGACACTATCACTGCAGCCCCTGGTCTTTGGGTTCTTGACATGCTCAGTAAGGAGACAATGGGACTTCAATCCATTGCTTTCCCCTTTTTCACTTTCCAGCAGTGAGGTGAACTGACTTCACTGTGCCAGGGTCCTCTGTGATGTGTTACACCTCACAACAGGCCTGAAACAACAGGCTCATCTGTTACGGACCAGAGCTAAACTGAACCAAAGTAAGCATCAGCATTATTTGTGGGGTGAACTTCCAGAGCTAACTGACTGACTTCTTGCTTGTGATTTATCATGAAGGAGTCTGCAGACATCAAACATAGATGCTGTGTACCATACACTTGCCACACAAGAATTGTGGTCACTATTTATCTTCCTGGAATATCTTCATGCTTTGTGTGGCTTGCCTTTAAAAGACACAGAAAATACACTTGCTTGCTGGCATGGTATTAGCCGGCGGCCCTCCCATCTCTGTCTCTTGCATCTTCTGTTCTGCCTTTCCTCTAATCATCCTCATTCCCCAAGTCGAGGCTCCCACATTGGCTAACCACCAGGCTCCCGAAATTATGGATTATGTAATTACATACTTACGTGTGGCTGTGTATTTCCGTGTGTGGGTGTGTCCATGTGAGTGCAGGTGCCCTCAGTAAGCACAAGAGGATATCAGTAGCAAGTGCTTATGAGCTGCCCAATGTGGTTGTTGGGAACTAAACTTGGAGCCCCAGCAAGAGCAAATTTCTTAACTGATGAACCATCTCTCCAGCCCCACTACAAAAGGTTTTCTAAAGTATGGTTTCCATCCATGAGGATGAAGACATCTTAATCACCTCTCATGGCCCCCACCTCTTAATCCTGTTGCTTTGAGAATTAAGCGTCAATATTAACCCAAAAACTCAGGTCATGACAAGATTTTCCTAAAGTCATGTGCCACCAGATCTAGCTAACATGTAATTTAAAATAGTGCATTTGCGTGGCTGGAGAGGTCACTAGGTGGTTAAAAGCCCTTGTTGCTATTGCAGAGGACCCTGGTTCAGTTCCCAGCAACCATGTGGTGGCTTGCAAGCATTCATGACTCCAGCTCTAGAATCAACTGACTCATGGGGGCCTGAAGAGATGGGGGAGCCTGCAGAGGTCTGACCTAGGTCCTCTGCATGTATGTTATGGCTGAGTAGCTTGGTGTTCTTGAGGGACTCCTAACAGTGCGAGTGGAGGCTGTCTCTGATTCTTTTGCCTGCTTGCGTGACCCCTCCTGCTGGATTGCATCGTCCAGGCTTGGTCTTGATATGATGGTATATGCCTGTAGCTTGTCATGTTGTGTTTGGTTGATGTGGGAGGCCAGCTCTTTTCTAAGGGGAGGTGGAGAGGTGGAACTCTGCAAGACAGGAGATGAGGGAAGAGACTGGGGAGAGGGGAGGGAGGAGGGGAAGTACTCCTGTCAGGATGTACTATAGGAGGGGGGCGGGGAGAGAAAGAGAAAAGAAGGAAGGAAGATAGATATACTCTCAGGAGTGAAGAAAGAGAGAAGAAATATACTCAGCTCACTCAGATACAACAGATTTCAAATTGAAAATCAATCA